CATGAAGTAGATCTTGACTGTTTTGGGCGCCTGTTTCAGGCTGTTGGAGTCTCCCTTCATGGGACCCAGGTGAGGCAAACAGTCGCACTAAGCAGAGGTCCGGAGCCAGACCCCCACCCTTTCCTCCCTTCCGCCCAAAGTCGAAGCGCCGAATAAGAACATGCTCACCAGTTGTCCTCACCCGCGCTCCTTAACCTTTCTCATGGAGCCGAGGGCGGAGAACATCGTCAGAGCTACTTTCACGGCCACCGATCACGCCGAGTGCGCAGAGGCCGACTGCTAGGTGACATCCTACGTCAGGGCAAAGTGGCGATGGCCAGCCGAAATTCCAAATTTATTTGCGGACCGATTAGTGCAGCACTCCGCTACCTGGACTCACCTTGCGCACGAGAACCCAATCAAAAGCACGGCGGACAGCATAATCGTTAGGACCGTGCGATCGTTAAGCTCCCGGAAACATTTAGAAAGGAACACGACGCAATCTTACCCAATGATGTTGGTTACGAATCGTTATTGGCACTTGCGTGTAACATTCACATAGTACGGATTAGAAGACGAATTCTGGGGAAATTCGGGCACCCCTGGTCAGGCCCACAAATCGGTAGCACCGACGTGGGGATGGGAAGAAAGGAGACGAAGACCGACAGCGGTGCTTGTGTACATGTTGAACCAGATTCGTTGTGGGTGTTGCCGCGGACGTTGCCTTGAGACGAACCGTCGCGTGCCCAACTCGTTTACACGTAAGAGTGACCCTTCGCCGGAGTGACCTTTGGTGCGGGCCCGATGGGGCCCCCGATCGCCGAACGCGGTGCGGTAGTAGCGTCTTGCGCGCGCGGCCCCCCAAAAGTCGCGCACCAAAGTTCACTCCTGCCCAGGGTCACTCTTGCGTGTAGCCGACCAACAGCAGCCGCTTTCGGCTGTTGGCCATCGTGCCCACTGGTTCCGCACCTGCTTCGGGCGTCCCAGACAAACGGCCTTGCAGCCCTCGCCGGTGCCGCGCGGTCCTTCCTCCTGATGTCGTCTGCTGGCCTCGCCGCCGGCGCCCCCAGAGGCGGCCCAGCTCGGGAGGGCGAAGGGAGGAGATGGGAAGGACGCGGAACGCGGGACTCGAAGCGGAGAAAACGCCATACAGGCATAATTTTTTGGCGCTCCGCGCGGATCTCTCGGATCCGCGCTGGGGCCCCCTGGCCTGGCGGCGCCTCCGGCGCCGTCCCCCGGCGCGCTCCGCGCGCCAGGGACGGGGTGAGCATGTTACGCATGGAATGAATTCAATGGAAATAAATCGCAGTGGATCCGTGAGTGGATCAATCTAGACTGATGAGGCTATGATGCCTCTTTTGATTTTGAGCCGGCTATGATGCCCGCTCGTGCCCACCCCGTCCCGTCTTCAGGGACTTCGCATCCTCCTATGATGGTAAGATGGGAAGACGGGCCGCCGCCCCTGGCACTGCACGTACGGCGCCAGGTTTGTGGGGATTTGGTTCGACCCCCGCAGTTCCGGTGATGGAAACTGCAAGGGGTGTGAGGCCTCATGGTGGTCCTCACTGGTAAGGCCTATGATGGTCCTCACCAGGGGGGGGGGAGGGCAAGGGCGGACCAGGAGGAGGAGGACAGGGAGGAAGAGGAGGACGATGACGAGACAGTTGAGTTCAATGAACAGATTGAGCGCGAAGGCCTATGATGGTCCTTCTTCCCAAAACGAGCCTTGCTGATGGCCCCGAATTGGGTGCGAGGTGCCTATGATGGCCCCTCTGGTTGCCTATGATGGCGGCACTAGACGACCGGCAGGGGACTGGGTCCCGTTCACGGTCCATTAGGGGTGAGCATGCTACGCATGGAATGAATTCAATGGAAATAAATCGCAGTGGATCCGTGAGTGGATCAATCTAGACTGATGAGGCTATGATGCCTCTTTTGATTTTGAGCCGGCTATGATGCCCGCTCGTGCCCACCCCGTCCCGTCTTCAGGGACTTCGCATCCTCCTACGATGGTAAGATGGGAAGACGGGCCGCCGCCCCTGGCACTGCACGTACGGCGCCAGGGCGGAGCGCCAAGAGCTTATGTTTGCGGCGTTTTTTCTTCTAGTAGTGACGAGATCTCAGCCACGCGCAGGGGGGGGGGTAATTACGAGGATGTGGGAAGGCTTCTTAGAAGCACCCTTACTCCCTAGAAGGCGCGGGCCTTCTCTGCAGATGTAAGGCTGGCGCCTCCTAAGAAGCAGCATCCTTCTAAGAAGCCTTCCCCCTCCCCTTCTCCCCTTCTGCGCGCCGCCAAAGAACGAACACGAGCGCATGGAGTCCCGTCTAGACTTCAGTCGGGCGTGTCCCTCTACAAACATAGCTCAACAGTAGTCAGGGGACGATTTTTCGAGCAGTTTCGATGATTGTTGTTCATGTTTGGCCATCTTTATTTTTTCGCCCGAGAGATCCTTCCTGCAGGAGGACATGCCCGACCTAAGTCCAGGGGCCCCGCAACGAGGGGGCGGCCGAGAACAAGGGCCGGTGCACGGCGAGGCGCGGCGGACGAGCCAGGGGGGGGTCTGAGGGAGAGAGCTCCTGCAGCCCGGGTCCCGCCCAGGACCAGCCTTCAGTCGGGGGCGGCAAAGAGGGGGGTTATGACTAGGGGGGGGGTAGAATTCATGGCGGGGCCATGATCGGAAACTGGAGCATCTACATTACCAGTGGCGGGCGGTCCTTCAATCCCCGGACTTTTTTGAGGGTCGGGGACGACGTCGGGGTGGTGTATATTTGTTTTCCCCGTTTTCCCAGGGAAACAACGAAGAATGTATACACCAGGATCCCGTGTACACCAGGATCCGCTTTCCTGTGCGAGATTCAGTGTGAGGCCAGAGGAAGGCGTCGGTGTATAGAGTTCGGCTCCTTACGTGGTATCTCCCCGGATTTCACGGCGCCTCTTCTTATGTCATTACGTCCCGGGCCGCGCACGTGCCGCCGGCCATGATCGAGGACGCCGGCGGCGCATCACCGGCCGCTCCCTGGGAGTTTGTCGAAGTGGTGCGCAGCATCGAACGTCGTGACGCTCCAGGGGCCTCTTGGGGGCGTCCCAGGGGCTTCTTGGAGACCTCTTAGGGCCCTCTTGGGGCTTCTTGGGGCTCTCTTGGGGTTTGTTGGGGGCCTCCAGGGGGCCTCTTAGGGCCTCCTGGGGGCCTCTTGAGCCGAAATCTCGAAATGTTCACTCGGGTTCCCCTTCTGGGCCTCCTCTTGGGGCCATCCTGGGGCCCGTCTTGGGCCGTCCCGGGCGCCTCTTGGGCGGTCTGGGGGCCTTCTTGGGCCGTCTTGGGGCCGTCTTGGGGGCCTGTTGGGCCGTCCTGGGGCGATCTTGGGGGCTTCTTGGGCCGTCGTGGAGCGTGGGTAGGCCTCTTGGGCGGTTTTGGGGCCCTCTTGGGCCGTCTTGGGGCCGTCTTGGGGGCCTGTTGGGCCGTCCTGGGGCGATCTTGGGGGCCTCTTGGGGCGGTGTGGAGCGTGGGTAAGCCGAAATGGCGTCAACGTGAAAATCCTTCAAAAACCATTGAAAAATTAAGGATTTTTGCTTCTCGGGGCTGTCTTGGGGGTGCTCTTGGAGCCCTCTTGGGCCATCTTGGAGGCGTCTTGGGCCGTCTGGAGGCCATCTTGGGCGTCTTGGAGCGATCTGGAACCGTCTGGGGGCTCTCTTGGACTGTTCGGGACTCTCTTGGACCGGCTTGGGGCGCCCTTGGGTCGTCCCCGGGCCGTCTGAGACCTTGAGGGGGGCCGGCGGCAGAGTGGGGCCCCCGCGGAGGGACTTTCAGGAGGTTTTTGACCAGGCACTGGAGACGGGGGCCAAAGACTGTGCCACACACTGTGTCAGGGAGGCCTCGCACGGCCCAGCCCGCCGGGCGGGAGCGGCCGGATTCGCGGCCCCCCACTCTGTTGCCGCCCCCCTCTGTGGCCGCCCCCGAGTCAATCGGGTTCGTCCCTCTACAGGAGGTATTGGAACAACAAAAAAAGTCTCAAGAAATAGGCTGGGGACGATTTTGCTGATATTTTCTGATCATGTTTGAACATGTTTTGGCTATCTCTACTTTTTCCCACCAAAAGTAGTTGGACGCGCCTGTAGGGGGACGCCTGTATTTTCTGCCTGTAGGGGGACGCGCCCGACCCAAGTCTGCCCAGGACCGGCCTTCCCTACTGCATCCGTCTGTCGACGGCCCCGGGGGCCCGTGGGAGGACCCCCCAGGCCCGAGGACGGCGATCAAGTCTTGGGCCTCCTCCTCCTCGTCCTCCTCCTCCTCCTCCTCCTCCTCCTCCATCTCCTCCCCCTCCCCCTCCTTCCTCCCTGCCCCTCCTCCTCCTCCTCCTCCTCCTCCTCCTCCTCCTCCTCCTCCTCCTCCTCCTCCTCCTCCTCATCTACCTCCACGGCCCGCTCTCTATCAGACCAGCCCCAACCGTTGGGGGGGAGCCGTGGTCCGCCTCGCGGGGGGAGCCGTCGGACCCGACAAACCCTCGTCGAGAGGTTGTCGATGCGAGAGGGCTCCTCGGGGGGGCAAGCAGCACAGCTCTCCAGCAATGGCTGGTCGGCTCCAGCGGGCTCAGGAGGACGACGACGCCGACGACGACGACGATGGCGGCGACGACGACGACGACGGCGGCGGCGGCGGCGGCGACGACGGCGACGACGACGACGGCGGCGGCGGCGGCTGGAAGGGAAGGGAAGGGAAGGGAAGCGTTAAGATGTTCCAACCTACTTTAGCCTTGAGCACCAATAAGAATTTCGTGCACCAAGAAAGTACAGAAGCTGGATGATGTTCACGTGTCGGGCCCTGGGAAGCGATACTCGTTCGACATTGTTTCGATAGTTTTCGGGGTGCTCGAAAGTATTTCTGGGATGTGGACTTTACGTACGATGAGAGCAACATGGGGGAAGGGATGGGAAAAGGAGGAGGAGCAGCAGGAGGAGCAGCAACAGGACAAGGACAAGGAGGAGGAGGAGGAGGAGGAGGAGGAGGAGGAGGGGTCGGCAGGAGCCCTGCGGCCTCGGCGCGGCGTGCCCGGACCTGGCCTGCGCCCTGAGGCACCCGAGGCGCCCGCGCGCCCTGGAGGGTTTCTCCGAAGGGCTTCGGCGACTCGTCCTCCTCCCCCTCCTCCTCTTCCTCCTCCTCCTCCGATTGTTCTTCCGAGTGATGAGGGTTGGGAGCCGCGAGTGGTCGCAGGCTGGAGAGAGGCGCTGGGGTGGGGCAGTTTCTTTGCAGCGAGGAGTAATCACGAAAGAGGCGTGGGGCCCGACAAGTACCCCAGCCGTGGCAACGCGCAGTGGGATGATGTTTCTGATCCTGGCTGTGAGCGCGCCGATTTGCACTGTATGTTGCGACGTTGACGCCCACAGCAGCCACCCTGACGCAAGGCAAGCAGGAGGAGGGGGAGGTAACCATCAACCAGAGGACAGGCGAGGAGGAGGAGGGGCAGACAGCAGCAGCCAATCTCAGGAGAGGAGAGAGGAGGTGGACGATATGCACGTTGCTCTACTTCAACAAGTAGACAGAGGCAGTAACCTGGTGAGGAGCGGGCCGCCCCCCCAGGGCGGCTGAGGCAGCCTTTCCTTCTTCATTCTGTACCTCGTGTACCAGCTACGTGCTGAACAATATTGACATGTTCTTCTCTTCTTCATGAATTTTGTTGATATTGGCTACTTGTACCCCCCCCCCTCCTTTTCATGTCAACATCGAGGAAGAATTTCGGAGGCGATGCCAGGCCAAGTCGCTGAGCGCGAAGACAATCCAGCTATTTCCCCAGTTGTCCATACGAATTTCTCACAGCGGTGCTAATAAGGCCCCCGCCCCGCATCGTCGTCATCGCATCGTCGGGACGACATGTTGCCCTCGCAAGACTGGCGCTCTGGACCCTGCTGTCGCGAGTCTTCCCTGCCCTGCAGCCAGACAGCATCATAAGGATGAGTAGCTTTCCCAGGGCACGCGAACATCCTCGCCCGGCTCGCCCCTCGGCCCATCCTGGCCCCCGGCCGCGGGCCATGGGCTTTCCCCTCCGGCTTCGACTCGGGCGTCCTATAGGGGTCCTGCCATCCTTGCGTGCTGCGCACCCCGGGCGAGCTGGTCACGCGGTGCTCGTCCGCGTGCTGCTCTCCCGGCGGGAGGGGCGCGCCGCACCTCCGTGCGGCCGCCTCGTCGAGCCCCCGCGCCCGCGCCCGCAGGCTCCCGGGCCTCACGCCGCCCCCCGGCGAGAAGGCGAAGATGAAGTTCTTCGTCGTCAGGCCAGGGCGGAGTGGGGCAGCGGGGCCAAAGACGTGCCACACCCCTGAGGCCTCGAGGAAGAGAAGGTTGCTGAAGCAAGCAGAAGTCTTCGGGGGTCCAGACGTGCCTACATTCCTGGGGCCTCGACGAAAAAGTCGTTGATGGAACAAGCAGAAAGTCTTCGGAGGTCCGTGCGGATGCTGCGGATCGGCGCGGGCCCCCCTGGCGGCGCCTCTTGCGGCGCCAGCCCGGGTAATCCGCCTTGGTTTTCGAAAGGTTTTGGTCATGCCGATGTTGTTTTATTTTGGGAGAGGCCCACAAAGTATTGCAACACATTCTCGAGGTCGGCACTTGGGCTGCAGACGCACCCTCCGGACGGTGCGGTCTGTGTCACCCGCGGTGGCCGCGCATCCCGGAAAGCAGCCTCTGGGTGCTCGCAGTGTGGGCGGGCCAGCGCGGCCAGCGCTCACATGGAGTTCTCACGCGTGCCGAAGGTCCTCGAAGGCGGAGCTTTTCGAACGTATTCGAAGGCTTTCGGCCTTCCCTGAAGCTTTTGGAGGCTCCCCCCACCGCCAGCAACCTCGAGGAACACCTGTGGACCTCCAGAAGCCTCTGCAGACCTCCAGAGGCTGTTCGAAGACCGTCGAGGAAGCAGCCGAGCATCTCTCGATCATGTTTCTCCTCCCCCCTACAGATGACGAGCCCCCCTTCCCAGAAGAAGGATAGGACACGGATACAGTGCGGGCGCGGCCGCAAGAAACCCTCGCAAGAAGCCCAACCCCGAGAACCCGTGCGCGAGGTGCTCACTGAGGGGAAACTTGGAGCACCCTGAACGCAGCAGCTCCTTCAACGGCCGTGGGAAGTCAACGGCCTTCAACGGCCGCGGAGCAAAGAAACAAAGGATACCCTGACGAAAGCAGATGGTTTCTTCATGCGCGCCCCCACTGTAGGCACGCGGTGCAAGCTGCGTTGTGCTGAGGGGTGCGGGCGGTGTGCGGGAACATGTGGTGCAGGCTGTGTGCTGCTGGCCGCTGCGGTGCCACCTGTGCGGGGCAAGCCGTGTGGTGGGCAGCACGCGGCGCCCACGGCCGCCCGCCCGGCGAAGACCTCGGCACGCCCAGCCATGGGAGCTCGGGGAGCCGCGCGGCCCCCCGCGGGCTTCGCGCTCTCGAGGGGGCCCTGTGCTGCTGCTGCGCTGGCGCTGGCGCCGCGCAGAAGACATGTGCGCATCGGTCGTCGAGAGCAGGTTTCAGTCGGGCATGTCCCTCAGCCGGAGGAATATTCCCAAAGAAGTATTCCAGAATAGTCAGAAGAAATAGTCTCGGGACGATTTTTGGAGCGGCGTTGAACATGTTGGAATCGTTTTTGGTCATGTTTTATTTGTCGTCCAAAATACGTCTGCAGGGGGGCATGCCCGACCTAAACGTAGGTACTGCTGGATTCCCAGATGCCAATCTACTCTAGACGCCTTCCTACTTTAGTGATCGAGTGGCTTCAGGGGGCGGGCGGACACCCAGTCTACTTCCAGCGCCTTCCTACTTCGCTTCGTGGTTCTACCCACTTCTTCCGACCGATGGGTACAGCCAAGACGCTGAGCAATATCCGAAGACGCGAGCATCTGCGCAAGCATCGAATGTTCGGAGATCCTCGCGGGTCTCGATCGGCGCTGGACCCCTCCTGGCGGCGTTTCGCACAGGGGGGGCGATAGGTGGGGCGTGACCGGAGGCTGCAGGAACGGGGCCGTAGAGGCCCCCCCCCTGGGGCCCCGCAGGTGGACGAAAGGTTCACCTTTCCTGCCCTCCCCGGTGATTGCCCCCTCCGCCCCCGCCCCCAGAGAGCAGCGCCTATCCAAGGGGGGCTCAGCTTTTTGGGGGGCCGTTCCTCAAAGCTGGGTCGGGGGAGGTTCGGGAGGAACGAAAAGCACAGACACAATTCAGCGCTGATCGTAGTCGAAATCTATGGAAATATGGAACATCGAGGGAAGAGGAAAGCCTGGGAAATGTGCATCGGTGTTTGAAATCCTGGGGCCCCCGTTTCCTCCGCCCTCTTGCCTTCCCCTGGGTCCCCGCCCTCCTTTCCTCCCCTCATGCAATGGCGAAGCGTCCTGGTTTGCCTATTAGGCCCGCCATATAATGTTCTAAGAACGTTGTGTGGTCTGCACGAAATGTTCTTACAACACTTCTGGCTGGGGCTGTCTTGTCTTACCACATCGGACATATGCTCTAAGAACATCGTTTTCGTTATTAGGACATTTCTATGGTTCTAAGAACATGCCGTGGTAGGCCCGCAGGAATGCCCGGACGGTCGGTCCCTGCTCAGCTCCTTCCCTTGGGCCCCCGCCCTCCTTCCTTCCCCCCCTCCTCCGAATTCGGTCCCAAATCATGGGAGCCTGGTGCACCCTCTGAAATGCCATCTCTGGCGCTGTGAGTGGCGTCGAGTAGCGCCTGGGAGTCGATGAGGAACGCCGATGTGGCGTCGGCGAGCGTCGATTCGCGTCGAGATTCAGCGTCGATCCGCGTCGGCGAGCGTCGATTCGCAGGAGCCGACAAGATGGTACGCGAGGCTCCCATGAGTTGCCACCGCATCCGGACTCGTGCGCAGGGACGGGCCTGCCGCGGTGCCGCGTTCGTCGGGCCTTCTGCCCTCTCGGCGCCGCGGCTGCAGCCCCGCGCCGCGCCAGAGGCACGGCGGCCGCAGACCTGCGGAGCCCTCCCCCTGCCCGGCCCCTCCTCCCCCTCCTGGGTCGGGGGCAGCGTGGAGGGATGGCTAGGCTCGGGGGGACCGCGCGGCAAGAGAGGACGACTTGGGTTCGGGAGAAGCTGGATGCTCCCTGGGTCCTTCCATGGCTGCCTCCTCTCGCCCTCCTCGTGAACGGAGGCGGCGCGGGGGCCTGAGATCGAACTGCAGGCCATAAACATAAACTTGTGTTCGGTCGGGCCTGTCCTCCTACAGGGGGATTCTGGACGAAAAATAACATATATTCAACACATGCCCATGAAATGGCAAACACATATTAGAAAAATAGTCCCCAGATTATCAGTTTTTTTACTATTTTTGAATCTTCCCCCTGTAGAGGGACGGGCCCGACTCAAAACTTGTGGCGCTCCGCGCGGATTTCTTGGATACGCGCTGGGGCCCCCCAAGCGGCGCCTCCGGCGCCGCTCCTGGCGCGCTCCGCGCGCCAGGGAGGGGGGCCCAGCGCAGATCCAAGAGATCCCCGCGATGCGCCGATAGTTTTCTGGGGTGGACAGAACCCCCACCCTGACACGTCGATTAGTGAATCGTCCGGCTCCGGTTCTCGAGAGGGCGCCGCGGCCGTCCTTCTCCAGGCTTTTGCGCCCGCCAGGTTTGTGCCCGAGGTCGTTTTCACGAAGCTACGCTCATTTAAATGGGGGTCCTGTCCATCCCCGGCAGAGGGGCTTTGTGCCTTCTGTAGCGTGCCTTCTTCCAGCGGCCTCACTGCGGGGGCCCATGGCCCACCCTGCCCAGGTGGCGAGCGGAGGCGCCGTCGGGGGCCGTTCGCAGACCTGTCTGGCGATGCATCGCCGGTTCCGGGTCGACGCCCCCCCCCCCGAGCCGGCCCCCCCCCCCAAGCTTAGCCCCCATTCCTGTAGTCAAGGGAGGAAAAGCCACCCAGACCAGGCAATCGGCGTTTACTAAACGGCCCTGGGCGTTTGCTAAACAGCCCTGCCCTGTTTGATCCCTTCTTTGCGCGCGTTTACTAAACGACTTCGCGTGTCGGGGTGGTTATTATCGGGGTGGATTTTCTGCCTTCCATGTAGCTACATGTCATGGCGCCATCGTCGCAGAGCGGATTCCCTTCGGCAAGCCATCGGATGGGCCTGGCGTGTCCTGGAGAATTGCGTTCCGGATTTCGCAGTGGATTTCGCGCGGGTTCGTTTTGGCTTGGAATGAAGGTTAAAACAAATTCAAGCGAAATTCACTTCGTTTTCACCTCGCAATTGACAGAAATCCACGCACAAATCCGCTGCAGTACGTCTGCAAGGTCGGCAGTGAAAAGCGTCAATCGGTGGCGAAGCGTCCTGGCTCGCCTCTAGGCCCACCAAGGAATGTTCTCAGAGCGGTTTGTGGTCGGCACGACATGCTCTTAGAACATTTCTGGCCGAGGCTGCTTCGTTTTAACGCATCGGGCTGATAATCTTAGAACATTGCTTTTTGTTCTTAACACATTTCTGGGGTCCAAAAAGATTTCGTGACAGGCCTATTAGAATGCTGGGACGGTCGGTCTCTGCTCAAACTACCGCCCTCTGGAGTGACAAAGTTGGGGGGCGATGGGGGGACAAAGGAGGAGGAGGAGGTGGAGGAGGAGGAGAAGGAGGTGGAGGAGGAGGAGGTGGAGGAGGAGGTGGAGGAGGAGGAGGGGGGGGAGCGAGGAGACGGAGGAGGAGGAGGAGGAGGAGGAGGAGGAGGAGGAGGAGGAGGAGGAGGAGGAGGAGAGTGACAAAGCGGGGGGGCGATGGGGGGCGGAGGTCGCGGTCGATCGCCAACATCCAGGTCTCCATCCGCGCAGGCGGCGAGGGGGACGACGACAGGGGCGACGACGACGACGAAGAGAGCGACGACGGCAGCTGCGGCGAAAACGGCAAGAGAGACGACGACGGAAACTCAGAGGAGGAAAAGGTACCCATACCTCTACCTTGCCCTCGCTTTCCCCTATCTTGGGCCTCCTCGGAGGCCCTCGTCGCCACCGCTGGATTCGCCTCGTGGTCACAGCGCACCCCGGGAATATCGGTACCTTCCTTGGCATCGCTCAGACGTGTGCATTCTTTTTCGGCGAGAACCATCGAGGATCATCTAGGACCATCGAACAAAAAAAACACGCGCGAAACCGAAACATGCACGGGACATGGACGTCCGAGCGACGGCAAGCTTCTGGTTCCCCCAGGAACGGCGACGACCACGACGGCGAACACGACGGCGCAGGCGACCACGGACGCGGCGACGCAAATAGCGACGAGAGCGACAGCGCGAGGGCGACCGGGACGGAGACGACAACGAGGACGACGGGAGCGGCGACGAGAGCGGCGGCGGCGGCGGTGGCGGCGACGTTGTGGGCGGCGGCGACGCTCGTGGGGTCGGCGGCGGTGGATTGCGTGCGAGGGCACCGCCGGGAGCGCGCCCGCGCGGCAGGGCAGTGTCGACTAGACGTAAGTCGGGGGTGGACAGAAGCACCAACAGTGACACGTCGATTAGTGAATTGTCCGTTTTCGGCTCTCGAGAGGGCGCCGCGGCCGTCATTTTCCAGGCTTGCGACCGCCAGGTTTGGGCCCGAGGTCGTTTTTACTAAACCACGTTTTACTAAAGGGGGTTCTGTCCATCCCCGAGTAAGAGTGGCCTTTCGCAGGAGTGACCTCTGGTGCGGGCACAGGTGGGTCCCCAGATGGCTGAGAACGATGCAGTAGCAGCTGCTTGCGCGCCCAAGTTTGGTCCCCCCGCGGCCCCCAAAGAGCCGCGCACTAAAAAGGTCACTCTTACCCAGGGTCACTCTTGCGTATAGCCGAGGCAGCCTCTCGCGTGATCGAGCCATGCAGCGCCGGGGGTGGTCACCTCCCACGGTTGGGTTCGAGTGGCAGGTTGGCTTTTCTTGCTCAAGGGTGCCCTGGTGTCACCCGTTTCGCGACCCATGTCCCCAGCATTCCGATAGCAACGTGGCCTTCGGAGTGGTCTTGTGTTTTCTCGCGAGTTCTCTCCAATCGAGTTCGACTGGGGGGGGGGGGGGCACGACTTCCTCCTCGAGATCGAGGAGAGAGGATCCGGGCCACCCCCAGGGGCGCAAAGCGTCGGGTGCTGCGAGAGGTGCCCCTGGCCCAAGGTGCCCCCAGGATTCCCGAGGAGGCCCCCACGGCCTCCAGAGCACCCCTCACAAGGCCCAGAGGGCCCCAGGGGCTCCAGAGTCAAACGAACAGCTTGGGGCACCTCGGGCCAGGGGCACCTGTCTGGCACCCTCCGACAGAGTTTGCTGCGGTGCGCGCGTCGCGGTCTGGCTCAGACCAGCTGCCCCTCTCCAAGGGGGCGGCGCGAGGGCGCGAGTGCTCGAAGGTGACCGCGCACCGCGGGGCGCGGTGCGCGAAGCCAGCACCTCCCGCCCCCCACCCCCTTCGCGCCCACGGACCCTTCAACGACGCGCAGCCCGGGTCACTCGTGCCTGGGATCGCGCTGGCGTGACGCCGCACAGGGTGGCCTTCGGAGGCGCCCCTCGCCCGGGCGGCGGGTCTGCTCCTCGCAGGGGTTGGCCCGTGGTGGCTGTCGCGCTCCCCCGGCCACGCGCCGCGGGGGGGCAGCGGGGAGGGGGGCAGGCTTCTCAGAAGTAGCCCTGCTTCTTAGAGGCGCGGGCCTTGTCTGTAGATCTGGGGCCAGTGCCTTCTGATCAGGAGCGGAAAACAGGACGTACGCGTACACGAATCCGCGCTTGTTTCGAGAGCACGCATTGCACGATCTTTCCTGTCTCGCGGTTGGTCTCGCGAATCGGGGGCCGTGTTCATGTGCGTGGATGGGCGCGTACGTCCTGTGGGGGCTCCCTATCTGAGACGCAGCCTCCCTCGAAGAAGCCTTCCCCCTACCCACACACCCCTCGCCGCGCGTCTCGCCAGTTCCCTGCCTCATGGCCCTCTTTGCTGGGGGCACCCCTCGTGGCCACACGGCCAGGCCCGGCCCGAGGGACAGCGCTCGGCCAGGAGGGGCCCCTCTGGGAGGGGCCGAGGTCTCGGGCCCTCTGCGGGATGGTGACGAGGAGGAGGAGGAGGTGGAGGAGGAGGAGGAAGAAGAGGAGGAAGAGGAGGAGGTGGACGAGGAGGAGGAGGAGGAGGAGGAGGAGGAGATGATGCTGGTGGGCGGCCGCGAGAGGCCGGGGCGGCCCTCTGAGAAGGCCGGGGGGGGGCTCAGAGAAGGCCTCCTCCGGAGCCTCGGGACGGGGGTCAAATGCAAACAGGGGTCCGCCAGAGCGCCCGATCTTGCAGGATCCTGCAGGGCCAGGGTCGCATTGGCCCGGGCTTGGGCGCAGGATCTTGCAGGTTCCTATCATCGACCCTGGCTTGGGTGCAGGATCTTGCAGGATTATGCAAGGCCTGACTGACCAGGGTCTGGATTGACCTGGGTCAGAAGATCCCCAAGCTTCTTGCACAGTGGATGGTACAGCCGGACGGAGGTATAAGATCGAGGTCGGTTCGAGGAGGGTACCCCAATGTTCTTCGTGTCTGTTGGATATTATTGGGCATCTTGAGGAGGGTACCATTTGGTGCTCTGTGTGCTGGCGGAGGGTCTCATGTTCTTGAAAGATGTTCTTCTGTCCTAGGTCCGACTGTATGCTCCGTGCCTTCTTAAGGAGGCCGCCCCCAGACGACCATGGCGCGGGAGGGACGGACAGCGAGAGAGAAGGAGAGAGAGAGAGAGAAGAGGCAGGACGGAAGGACTCAAGGAATGTTGTCGGAGGAGGGAGGGACGATAAAGAGGCGAGGGGGAGGACCCAGATAGATGGAGGAAGAGGGGACGCGTGGGGAGGACGAGGAGGAGAAGTAGGACAGGACTCTCAAGCAGTGGCGAAGAGTCCTGGCGTGCCTATAGTCCTATCAAACAACCCTGTGTGGTCTCCACGAAATGTTCTTAGAACATGTATGGCGGCGACTGTCTTGGTTTTATCACATCGGGCTTATGTTATAATATTTGTTTGTTATTCGAACACTTTCGGGTTCTAACAACATGTCGTGGTAGGACGATAGGAATACCGGGACGGTTGGTCCTTGCTCAAGACTCAGGAGCATGGGGAGCGAGGGGGGGTTAAACAGGGATACGAGAAGGCGGAGCAGCAACGGCAGCAGCAGAAGCAGGAACACATCGGAGACGGACGAGGCGGAGCAGGAGCAGCAGGAATAGGCGACAACAACGAGGGCGACGGGCCTTCGGACCCATGTCTCCGGCGGGCCGGTTTTATCAACCCGTGAGCCTCGGAGAGTGTGAGACATTTTTCCCCGGGTCTTCAAGCAGTGGCGAAGCTCCTTGGCTTTCCTATAGGCCTACCAAAGAATGTTCTACGAACTTTCTTTGGTTTGCACAAAATGTTCCTAGAACATTTCTGGCTGCGACTGCTGTGTCTTAACACATCGGGCTTATGGTCTCAGAACATCGATCTTGTTACTAGAACATTTCAGGGTTCTGAAAATATGTCGTGGTATAGGCCTATGGAAATGCCGGGACGGTGGGCCCCTGCTCAAGGGCCTGTTTTGGACCCGTCTGGGAGCCGGAGGTGTGCGCCCAGGGGGCGGGCCTTCTCAGGAAGTTCGGAAGGCCTTGCTTTAAGTCGGGCCTGTCCCTCTACAGAAGGAAAAATTCAAGACATGCTTAAAACCAAAAAACACATAGTACGGTGACGATGTTTTATTATTTGTTGATTAGTTTGGGGTATGTGTTGATAATGTTTTTATTTTGTTCGTCCAAAGTCCGCCTGTAGGGGGACACGCCCGACCTAAGCCCAGGGGGGGATTGAGAGAGGGTGGGCCTTCTCAGGAAGCTCGGAAGGCCTTGCTCTCTGATACGTTTTCTGAGCCTTCTCCGAAGACGCAGAAAACTTATCGGAAGGCGCGAGGGTTTCTGAGAAGTCCCGCCGCCTTCTGAGAAGGCCTTCTCCTCATCGCTTCCCTCCCTCGCTCGCCACCGAGTCTGGATTCCGAGGTGTGCACTCTTAGGACGGGCCTGGGGCGCTCCTGGGTCGACGAAGGCAAGACTGAAGCATAAGCTTCCGGAGGTCCGCGCTGATTGTTGG